TTTGAATACTCTGAAAGTCAGAAAAGAACATATTTTCCTAATATGGAACTGGAAAAAGAAAGAGTGTTTCCACTGATTGTCCTTATCACTGATTGCTGCATTCACTAACTTCAAGGCATCTCAAGATCAGGCAGCTTGTTTTTATCCTTCACTCTAAAATTTATTTTCATGGCTTAAGAGTTAAGTAATACTTACAGCTTTTGACACTACCTTTGGTTTTATAAAACAAGCCAAGGAGCACAGTTTTTGTGTAGACTGTCCGAGGTGCTATTGACAAAACGGCAAATAAACTTCCTCTGGGGATACATGCTGTTACTCCTTCCCTTTCCTATCTTGCTTGCACACAAAGAAAAGGGAATTTGTTTCATAATACAGTAAATAATAACAGAATTAAACACTCTGCATAGAGTATAAACTGCCTGTTCTCACATACTCATTGTTTTAAAGCATTCTTCTGGATAATTCTGAAAGTTCAGAGACTGAGGACATAGATAGCCTGTTCACATTCCTATTTGTATTTTCAGAACAGGATGTTGGGAGATAAAGAAGAAAACACCACCCAGACAGAATGTAAACTCACATGTGCTATTACCATTGGCACAGTGTTCAGCTTCCCTCAAAATCTGAAAAAAGCAGGGAGATTACACCACCTTCTGGACAAAACTTTTAAAGCCAGATACACAACTGTTTGCTTGCACATAATGGATGGGAATCTGCCACCAAAGCATTATACAGCTAGCTATTTCCTGAGGCCAATTTCATATTTTACTTCCACACACAGTTCAGGACTTTCCTTTTCTACTGAAAACTTCCACACAGCGTGACTGCTCCTGAGACTTGCTCCCTAAATAATTTTAGGGAAAGCAGAAAGCTGTTTTACAGGGAAAGGCAAAAGAAGACTCTGAAGATTTCAAGTTTTCCCAAGTTCTGTTTTAAGAAAACAAGAGATGCAAAGAAATGATCCAAGGAATTTGAGAATTTAAATTTGATCTCATCTCATCTGTTCTTCCTCTCACATCAAGAGCAAAGTGTTTGTAGGTGAGAGAAAGATTGTGCATTTATGCACAAGAGATGAGAGAATTTCTACTTTTCTTTCCACTCGGCATTGCCAGCTCTGTCCTCTCCAGCAAATATGGTTCACTAGAAGTAGGCAGAATTTAGAAGCTGCAGATCGCTTGTTCTATTTTTCTCTTAATTCAGTTTCATTTTGTACTGAACAAAGGCAGAATATAAGATGATGGCTGTTCAGAGATACTGCACAAGAAGCACTGGCTCCTTCCATAAGATTTCTTTCAATCTTTCTCCTTCTGACTTTCAATCTTTCTTCTTTCTGACTATCAGCTAGGCCACGGAAGTGAGGTATAACCTGCAAAAATGAACAGGTCTGACCAGTTATTTTTCCTTCAGTTGTGCTTCTGAGAGTAAGGAGAGATTCTGCATGTAAAGTTATTCTGTAGCTATTTCAGGCCAAAGAAATACTTTCAAATTCTGAAGTAAAATTAATCCAAGGTTATGCAATTGGACCCTCTCTGCTCCAATGCTGGCAGAAAAAAAAAAAAAAAGGCAGGCAGAACAGTGAGCAACTTTTAGCATGATAGCAAAGAAACGTAATAAACAAAGTTACCTATCTATCTATCTATTTCACTATCCTCCCCTACTTTTGATGTCTTGTCAAAAGCTGTTGTCGCTTTCAAGCTAGAAGATGTTTACTACTTTGGGCAAGATAACCACTACAAGAACAGCTTGATTTGACATCAACATTAACAAGATACCTAATATCAAGAAGAGTAGAAAAGGAAAAAGAAGTAGGAACCCTGCAGCACTGAAGAATGCTACAAGATTAAAAGATTCCATTTTAAGCTTCAGCACAACAAAAGCTTTCACAGTGTTGCATACTGTTATAAAACACACGTCAAAATATTCAGCAACTGGATTTCCTCAGGGCAACATTTTATTAATGCATTGGAGGAAATTATTCTTCTCATGTCCTCAGACACTAAAATTCCTACCTTCACAGTCTCCTCTTGTCAGCTTATGCAAAACATAATGGAATACATCACAGGTGTCACCAACAAATGCACTTAAGTCACATTACATTTAACAGTTATCTCTGCCATTATACACGGGCAGACAGGTGCACTTACACTTCTTTGCTGCAATACTCTGCTATCTATCTGATCAATAGAGTCACAGTTTTACCGATCCTTTACTTCAGAACAATAGCTGTGGAGCATATTGGACAGTAAAAAGGCTCTGGGCTTTGTTTTCTTGCTTGGAGGACAATGAGCAAGAAATTTTTAATAATTGTTCTTAACTGCTGTCAGATGAGAAATTCTGCAGCTGGCAAAAAGGAGACAAAAGACACTTTAATAAGGTTTGCACAGTTAAAACAAAAAAATAGACATGAGAAAAAGAAAGCTTTGGTATTTCCCAATTTGTAGTATCTCCAGTCTACACTGAGGGCTCCTGACAATAGGAAGTTTGCATGGATGAGAGCTGTAGTGAGCTGGTGCCCACCCAAAGCAGTTGTAATAAGGAGAAGGGTCCGAACTTTGGAAAAAAGAAGGGACTTAACCCCAAACTCCCACACTGTCTCTTGAATGCTTTACAAGCGCAACTACAGAAGTATCCAAAGGTCACCCTGTGCAGCACTCATGGTTTTATGGACTTGAGTACATCCAGTATTTTACTACCTACAGTAGTTTTTTAAAATTTTCTTTATTTTTTAATTTTCTTTATTTTTTTTAGAGTATGATATTGGTGAGATAGCAACCATCAATTTTCTATTTTGCTTTACTTTGCATATAATCCACGAAAGCAGTATTGGATGGAAACTGCCTTTCTTCAACTATTTTCTTCTTTGAAGCAGATTTATAAATCCAAATGTTTAAATGTGTCTCATCTATAACAAGTAGGCTCTAGTACAGAGAGTCACTAGCCTGTGAGTGACTGCAAGGACCTCCTATGCATCGTCCTCTACTGAATTTTTTCTCCTCTGAGCATGTTCATCTGATAAAAAAGTAAGTTCTGGAAAACTTTTCCATACAAAGAGAAGAAAGACTTCTCAGTACCTCAGACAAAGCAGCCAGATTTATCTGCTGCTTTGTGGGGTCACCATGCAGCTGGTGGATACAATATTCCTCCCAGCACTTCATGATGCAACAGCAGAGGGTGTTGCAGATCAGGTCTAAGGTGCACTGAAAAGAACTAAGTAGCCTTTCTTACATAGTGCTTGGATTCTTTTTTTTTTTTTTTTTTTTTTTTTTTGACTGATTCTGTTAAGTCTTTTGTAAGCATTTGCACCAACTCTGAAATATTCTGAAAATAATAATGATTTAAAATAAAGATCTTTGCATGTATGGAAAAAGCGGAGTTAACACAAAGATGCTGCTTCTATTCTATTTCTCAGTCTTACTCAGTGAATGGTAAAAAAGAATTCAACTTTAATCCACATGAGGAATACTGAAGGAAAGGGATGAATCTTCATACAGTATTGGTCTCATGCATGAAAGCCCAGAGAAGAGGAAACTGCTGCCCTGAAATGTGGGATCAAATCTCCCAGAGATACTGCAGTATGCAGAGAGAGAAAAAAGATTCTCCAGCACTTATTCATTCTGGGAGACTGCTTATTTCACATTTCACAATTTCAATGGCACCCTAGTCAAAAATTAAGCCCCAGCGAGCTGTTTTTAGCTTCCCAAAATGAAAGAGAAGTGAAAATCTACATTGCATAGAACAGCTGAAAAACCGTATATATTCCCATAGAAAAATCTGCTGACTCTGGAAAGCATCCTTCTGTTGATTCTCTACCTCCTCCTGGCCTAGCATCTGTACAGAAAAAATGCAAGGAAGACTTCCACATGCTAAAAATAGGTCTTCTTATTTTAAAATTCACAAAGAAAAGAGAATGCCATTCCTTCTCTTTAATATTTCTACATTGCTTAATACAAAACTTTCAAAGATGCATCCCAGAAGGAGGGACTGGGCAACAGTCCTGAAGTCTTCCATTTTTTCAAAACAACTGATTACTATTGCAGCTGCTCTCAATCAAAAGCCAGTGATAAGCTTCATGCATTACAAACAAAATTCAGTGTTTGAGGCATATGTTTTTAATATACAAATTAGTACAAAACATACCTTTCAGTGCCTGTAGACATTTCAATTGACATGAATGCAACAGTCACCGTACAAGAAGCAACTTTTACCCCTTCTTGGTTCATATCACGTTAACAGCCCAATCAAATGCAAGCAGCAGACCAGTTCTGCCAAAATGATATGCACAGCTCCACAGAAGCACCTTATTTCTTGATTTAAGCATAGGATACAAACCTGTTCTCTAGAGAGGCAGAACACAAAATAAGCAGTGGAAGGAATGGACTGAACACAACAAGAGAACGCCTTCAGATTGATGCTGGGGTAGAAGTTAAGATGCTGATTAAGTGCTTCTGTGATTTCTCTACTGAAGTTCACCGACCTCTTTATTTCTGACTGTGCTTTCTACTCAGTGTACTGTAGGTATACATTATTATTTGTACTTCATCTAATTTCTGTTTAAGTGAAGAATTATTTCACCATAGTTGGTTAAAATCACAGCAACTCAGTCAAGGTTGAGGGCAAATAAATATTCTGCTATTTAAGCATGCCCAGTGTTCAGCTCCCCAACACATTTCTTCCAGGTTTCCTTATGTAGATATTGCTGACATTTTGAGAGCTGAACATGTCAGAATTAAAAGAAAAAGCCACTCCAGAGATAATTGTGAGGCTTTGGGACATGTGGCAAGATTACTGAGGCACTAAGTGATTGCCTGGGAATGAAAACCACTCGATGACATTAAAATAAATGTAGAATACATACCCTACCCCATCAATCAAATCTGCTCTCTAAAAGGAATATATATCTCTTCACTGACTACATAATAAAGAAAAATTTACCTTTCAGCGATCCTCCAGATTTTGCCAACATTTGGGTGAATGTTATGTTTTGAATGGAAAAAAGTTACCTGGGTTTTTGTAGATGCTAAGAACATCCTTGAAATAATGAGGTAAGAATCTTTCTAATAAAAGCAGCACATCCTCCAACTCCTCCAGAATCCCCACAAGCAGGAAGTTTTCATTAACGTTCAGCTTTGCTCTTTCAAGGGCCCATTCACCAGGTTCCCTGTATGAAATTAAAGATGAGAGAGGAATAAAGATTAAAAAAAAAGGGGAGGAGAATGGGTGTTTAAATACACAATTACCTTAGAAACTCAAGTTAAAAAAGCAAATGTAAGCAAATAAAGAGAAAATACCTAAAGAAAAAAAACTGTTTGTAAAGATACTTGAAGACAAAAGAATGAACACATTAGAATTTGTTATAAGTGCATAGAGAAAATATGGCTTCTGTAATAAATTTTTGGAAATATCCACAGGTCTTCCTATTATGGAGAAATGGTGGCAATCAATAAATACAATATCTTGAAGATGAATAAGGTTAAGAAGGAATTTGCTGTAATCAACAAAATAAAAGCATTTCAAAACAAGAAGGTATTTAAAATTGTTCACATATTGCATAAAAGTTTACTATACTACATCAATAACATAGCAACACGTGAATGGCATCAATAGACACATCAAACATGAATAAGTTCAATTACAGTGGCAGAAGGCTACACTTTATATAATTTTAAGCATGATCCCTATTTATTACATGGAAACCTGGAGATCCTATAATATAGATCTGGTATCTGCATCTGAGCAGAGCTATTAAGTAGGTATTAAGTTAAGGCACAGGTAAAACAAGTATGTCAGGTCACTACCAACTCAGAAGAGAAAAATCCAGATGATTACATCCAGATTTGATACATTATTCAAGAGTGAAATCAAATAAAAAGGACAATACTATGTTTGTACATTACCCTTCTTATTAAAAAATATATTCACAAAAACATGCAGCTATCACATGCGTCACCACATCGTGCTTACAATTTTCTACTGTACTTCAAATAACTATTGCCTCTGATCACCAGTTTTTGACAAAATAATGGTCAATGGATATTGCTGAGCAGACTGGGATACCTCATGTATTTATTTACCTGCATCTTGGATGCTGCCCACAGAAATAGGGTATGATATAAAATAACCTGGGATTGGAACATTCAGGGTAGTTTTCAAGGATACACACATTAATGTCCTGTGGGTGAGAAAACAGAAAACAAAGTTGATTACTGTGTTTTCTTTATCAACAATTGTTTTTTTCATCTCACACCTTACACAGCATCTCAGAATCACAGAGTTTTGCTGAGGCCATATGAAATACCTTAGAAATAATCCACTTTCATTTTAATACTTTTAAACTTTATTGGAAAGCTGCAGGAGAAAAAAGTGATTTCTTTCGATAATGCCTTGCTGCAAGTAACACCTTTTCATACTGGGATTAATGTGTGATTCTCAGCAGGGTAAATGGATCGGCTTTCTGAATTGGGTATATAAAATATTCAAGATATTGTTTTCAGACTTTTCTCTGGGGCATATTCAAAAGAAAGAAAACGTAGATCAAATCGAGACAATTATTTTATTTATTCTGCTTCAGACGATGATTGGAATGAACAAATAAAAGCTGTAAAAACACAGCTTGCTCATGATATAAAAACATAAATCACCTTGGACTGCAATTCAGGACATTTCTGAGATGTTCAGAAATGAGCCTATCGTATAAACCCACATTGAGAGAAAAGCTTATTAGAAAGTATTTTATCACTTTCCTGATTCATCAGTCTATCAGAACTACTTATCATTTCTCAACAGATGAGGCATAACTATTGAACCCCAAGGAACTGCATCCCACTTCCCATTTTACTCAGCTCAGCGATAAACATTCCCTACAGTGGGATTGAATTCCACTATCTTTATCTAGCCTAATAGAGCCTTATTCTGCAGGCAGATTATAATGAGACTTAAAGGGGAAAAAAAAAAAAAAAAAAGGCAACGTAGCAAAGACAAATGATTCACATCTTTGTAAAAGTTGTCTTACTCATGTTTCTTCCACATGTGCTTCTACAATGCAGTGGGCTTGGTAAACCAACGAATAATCAGACGCATACTTTATTGAGTAAATGAAATGGGGCAGAGATCATTTTAATGCTCATCAGACCCTCTGAGAGCCAGAACTGCTCAGCAGCATGAGAGATGCACAGAGCAACCCCTGTGGCAGTGAGTGCCCTGGGCAGTCCCAGGGCAGTGTGTGGTATGGAGTACAGAGGCATCATTGGCTTCTGACACCCTCCATGCAGAAAAGCTCTTCCCAGAACTGAAGTCCTAACTTCATTAGTTTCACATCTGGGTCCAAAAGCGTGTCAAAAGTTGAATCTCATTTCCTCCCTGTCTTACCCGTATGTAAATCAGGTTTTGTGGACATACCATGGGCTGAAATTAGATTACATGGTGAAGAACTATCACAGAAAACAGCATAAAAACTGCCACCTGGGATACAAGCAACCCACCTCTCCTGCTCCCCACAGTGTATTCAAGCACACTTTAAAGGGTTTGCCTTGCATACGTATTATAAGATTTACATCCAAGCAATAATTTTTAAATTCAAGGCTCTGAGTTTAAATTAACCCTTGTGAGTCACTGCAACAAACAGTATTGAGAAATTTACTGGTAGCACAGCTAATGCGCTACTTCTGTGATCTCAGCAGTTCTTTCATGTTGTTTTTTAAACACAAGAGTCTTTATTTTTGCTTTTCAATACATAAAGGATGTTTATAAGAAAGATGGCAAAAAACCTTTTCATCAGAGCCTGCAGAGATAGGACAAGCAGCAATGGTTTTTAACTGGAAGAAAGTACATTTACATCACATGTTAGGAAGAAATTCTTCACTCAGAGAGCAGTGAATCACAGAATGGCCTGGTTTGAAAAGGACCACGACGACCATCGAGTTTCAACCCCCTGCTATGCCCAGGGTCGCCAACCACCAGACCAGGCTGCCCAGAGCCACATCCAGCCTGGCCTTGAATGCCTCCAGGGTTGGGGCATCCACGTCCTCCTTGGGCAACCTGTTCCAGTGTGTTACCACCCTCTGTGTGAAAATCTTCCTCCTAATATCTAACCTAAACCTCCCCTGTCTCAGTTTAAAACCATTCCCCCTTGTCCTATCACTATCCATCCTCATAAACAGCCATTCCCCCTTCTGTTTATATGCCCCCTTCAAATACTGGAAGGCCACAATGAGGTCTCCCCAGAGCCTTCTCTTCTCTAAGCTAAACAGGCCCAGTTCCCTCAACCTTTCTTCATAGGAAAGGTGCTCCAGCCCTCAAAGTGAGACAGTTTGGGGCTGTGGGTGCCCCATCCCTGGAGGGACTCAAGGCCAGGTTGGATGGAGCCCCAGGCAGCCTGAGCTGGCAGAGGGCAGCCCTGCTCATAGCAGGGGGTGGGGTGGGCTTCAGAGTCCTTTCCAACCCAAGGCATTCTGCAATTCTATAATAATTAAAAATGACAGTTTTTTAAGATTCATTGTATTTTTATTATAGGCATTATCAGAGACATTTCAGGGATACATACTCTCCAGTTTCTATAATAACACCTACAGAATCTGGCAATGAACTTATAATTCACAGCAAGGACATTTATTGTTTCATTGCAAGAATAATGAATACGGTGTGCCAGGAAGTAATATTTCTGAGATTAAAAAAAAGATTGATATCCAATACAAAAATCTAACAGGTTCCACCTTCTCCTTCTGAAAGTTGTATTTGGTTAATATGGACAAATAAAACACTCATACAATAAAAAACAATGTACATTCAAAGGAAAAATGCTGCAGCTTTAACAAATGAATAGTTTTTACTTAATCAAAAATGAATGTTTAATATTCCCTTGCAGTGTCAAGAGCTGAAGCTGCAGGACAATTGGGACAACACCAAACTAAAATAGTTAATGGCACTTCCCTTCAGGTTTCACTTGTGAAAGAAATGCACAAGGACCTCGATGTAATAAAGGTTTAAGATAAAGGCCAAGTACATTTTCATGTGAATCTCCAGTTTTCCACCACATAATGGCACACCCTTCATGTTCCCAACATCAAAAGCACCAAGCTTGCCCTGTGGTCAAAAGGCTGCCCCATTTCAATATCCTTTTACTACTGCCATTGCAAAAAGCAGCACTATTTACCCACATCTGATCTGTATTACAGCTGCTGGATGGTTCCAAATTATTCACAGCACCTGCTTTCCTTTCCTGTTTTAATGTATTCTTAATTTGTGAAACAAATCACCAGCATCCCTCCATCCCCTCAGAGGAGATTTCACCGGGTGATACGTGGAATTACCATTGATATGTGATGATACGTGAAATTACCATTTTTACCAAGGGGGCTGGGGTGTGTGTGCAAAAGCAAGAACGGCTGAAGGTGTGTTACTCATCACATTACACAAACCTACACAAAGCTGCTCTTTGGCTGCTAGATGACTTGCACCAATTCCTGCTTTTTCTGGGCACAAAACACTAAAGTGATATTATGTTATTCTAGGCACTGTTATTCTGTTATCCTAAGCCACATTCATGCTACATTTTTTCCATTAAGAGCATGTTTTCCTAGAGGGATATAGATCTTCCAGGGCAGAAAGTACTGTGAGACAAAAACTTGCAAGCTGACAGATGAACAGCTTTTTACATTTAGATCGCCAGAAGAGTATTAGAGAAAAAAATAATTCAAATGCATCTGAGAAAGATACAGAAAGAAAGAAACAGAGCTACTTTGATCACACCCTTCCACAACAAAGAAAGGGATTTTGCTTTATTCCACAGCTCCCAACCACAATCCACGCTGCTCACATCCCGCTGAGCTCTGTCTGCAGCAACACTAGAAGGCTCCCCAGGAACCAGCAGTGGCCCTGCTGCAGCTCTGGGTTTGTCAGTAACAACAGAAACAATTTCTTTAACAAATTTTTTTTTTTTTTCTATTATTGTTACAATTTGGGCTGAAGTGGCACTTTGGTAGTGCTTACTTGTGTCTGTAACACTGCCCTTCATAAAGAAATTGTCTTGTGCCCTAATACGCTAATCTGAGAACAAGACAGACCTATCAGAAATCTATCAAAGACATTTGACTATTTTTGATAAGCTAATAACAACAGAACTATTTTATTTGCTCTCATATACGTCATCAGGGAAGTCTGCTGTGCTAAAAAAAAAAAAAAAAAAAAAAAAATAAAAGGATATAAAATCTGTTCTGGAATTTTTGTGCTGTCATTAAAAGGGTAAAATTTCAAGCACCTTATGTACAACATACAGCAATATACTGATCCTTAATTCATTGCAAATACTGTATCATTCATTGCAAACACTGTATCATATACTATCATATTAAAAAGGTATGATCTTAGGTTTGAGAACTGGGAGTTCTTTTCCCAATGCAAAATTTTCAACTATTGAAAAAAAAAAAAATAAAAAAAAAATCACTTTTTGGCCAGCAGAAGGGACATGTATGTTGAGCAAAGAAAAAAAAAAGTTCTCGAGCTTCAAAACATTCTCTGCATTCTAAGTGTCCCAATCAAAAGTTACAGAAAAGTCAGATTCTGCCATGGATGTATGGCAACTCTAAGTGTCACTAACAGTTTAAAATAAAGACTAACAAGCCAAATAGAATCACAGAATCAACAAGGTTGACAATAGACCACTAAGGTCACTCAGTCCAAGTGTCAGCTTGGTGCTCACACCATGGCCCGAAGTGCCACATCTACATGGTTCTTGAACACTTCTATGAACAGTGACTTCACCACCTCCCTGGGCAGCCTGTGCCACTGCCTCATCACTCTTTCTGAGAACAATTTTTTCCTAATATCCAACCTAATACACACATGCCTGGCAAGTATTTTTCCATTAATCATCCATTAACCCAGGGGAAGCCAAAAAGTGGCCTTTTCTTCTCTGAAAGACTTTTCAATGCCTGCTCTGGTGGGGATGCTGCAGCTCCCACGGCAGAGCCAGGAGACCCTGATAGAGCCCGGTCACAGTGCAGGTTCCCTGTTTGGGTCTGAAGGCAGCAGATGTGAAGCACAGGTGTGTCATGGAGGCTACAGAGGAAGCAGGGAGCTAAATAAATACCTTTCAAGTAGAAACTCATGAGAGGAAATGAAGTAACATGATGTGGAAAACCAGTGAGTGTGCCCAGTCAATGGTGACCTCTGCTG